GCTTTCTCTAAACCATAATACATACATATATATACACATATATGTAGTATAAGCATAATATACACGGGCACTCGGATTGAATATAGTTTTAAAATGGATATCACACACCCACACGCAGTGTTCTAAGGCGGCACTGTTAATCTGATAAACGTCGTATGGCTTTGAATTACCAACGGAAAGGTTTTGCTCGCTGTCATCGTGTCAAAATGAATAGTTTGTGATTTTGTTATTGTTTTCATATTTCTTTTCCTTTCTCGAATCGAAATGATTAAATAATTTATAGTTGTAACGCGCATACAAATGTTATAAAAATGCATTGTTGTCATTGTTCATATATTGGCTATGACCCACGAACACAAACACCTCACACTCGTTCTCGTATTACACAATAATGGGATGCATGTTTAAAAAAAAACCTTAGAAAATTTTGATTATACTCAAGACTTAACTAAGTATCCTTAAGAATATGGCATTATAATATTTGTGCGTTTATTTGCGTTATGTAAAAATTAATATAATAGAACGATCGCGTTTCGATCATTTATTTTCGGATTTTCGGAATCCTTTGGACAAAATGTTCGATTATACAAATCGACATGAGTGATATAATAATTTGGATCTGGATTTCCCAATTTTCCTTCATCAGATTTCCACAATCACAAATTTGTCACAGTTTGAAACATAATAAAATGAAAAACTCTTTATCGACACTCGGAGAAAATTAACTGAAAAAAAATTATTTTTCTGCATTAAAGATTGCAAATGTCACGATGACGTGTATGATGTAACTATTTAAGATGGGTATTAAGATCCATTTATCATCATATTGGGTTATGATTATAATAATCTTATGCCGAACTTGATAAAAGATTGAGTTTCGTATCTGGGCTGACATAAGTTTCAGAAATTGAACATAAATTTTAGTCTACTTAACTGTGTGCCTGTGAAGTAAAGAAATAACATAATACATACAATCATATTACATACAGCTTATTTATGTGCTATTAAATTATTATATGTGTGTAAGGCGCAATTATATCATTATTTTTTAAAAAATCTGTGAGCGAATCATTACAGAATTATCAGCCTTGTATACGTTTATTAGTGTTAAGCAATAAGGTCTTTCGTAAATAACTACCTACAAAAAAATAAATAAATAAATAAAATTTAATATAATTAATAAAATAGTTTCATGGTGTTCATGAACTTCATATTATGACTTATACAAAATATTTAATTAATATTCAAACCATATTCAATTTTTCTTTTATATTCTGTTGAAATTTGTCATATTTAATTGTACGTGAAATAAAACTGTATATTCCACCGTTAAACTATTATTATATGGTATGATTTTCACGTATATATGTTACAGGAAAAGATGACAATCAGTCCGTGTTGACAATGACTAGTCAATAACGATAATGCCTGATTTATTAAGGAATTAATGTCAATACCTAGTCATTGATAACAATTCCTAATAAAAGAAGGCATTGATAATAACATTAAAAATTAATTTAATATATTTTAATACTTATTAGCTATTTAAGATAAATCATAATCTTAATCTTTATTGCTACGTGGTAAATTACTATGACACTTGGAATTATATAATATAGTACAGCGGTACCCAAACTGTGCTCCGCGAAGCCTTTGGTGTTCCGCAATGGTTTGCCTAGGGCTCCGTTCGTAACACCACAAAAAATTTAAAAAAATGTTCATCATTTAAAATTAATATATATTTCATGAAGACTTGAATGTTACATAATCAGATCGATAACCGATAAAGCGGTGTTGATATTTGCTTGAATGCGGATTTATAACATTGCCTAATATAATACGGAAATGTTGATAAAACTACGAAATATCCAACATTGCCTAACCTTTCCAGTCATTGTCAACAATGACTAGAATATACTGACAATTCCTGAATTTTCATCTTTTCCGGTAACATATACAATTGTAGGTTTAATGATATTAAAAAAAAAAAAAAAAAAAAAAAAGTAAACGTATTAAAATTATTTCAGAAAATCAACAAACAAAACTTTTAAAATAAAAATTCCGAATAAATATTTATAGTTATGTTCGAAAACTAAACACTGTTATTTTTAAACATATGTTATAATGAATATAATATAATATATAAATATATATATGATTAATAAATAATATACACGAATGATGGAATAATATGACTTTTGGATTTTATATTTGTTTTACAATATTCTTTGTAATTTATTAAGAAACCGTAAAATATTGTGTCGATCAAGAGTAACTGTATGTCAGAAGTAAGGAATAATAATACGCGCAGTAATGGTGAAATTTTATGGGGATTTGAATAATGTTATTAATAAATAAGATAATCAATGGAGTTCTGGTCAACTCATAAAACAATTTTATTATTGTCTCATTAAAATGATAGTTTCTGAGGAGATGGGGAGGGTGGTTAAGTCTGGGATTTTTATAGAGACCTCTTTGTTGCTTAATATATGCGTTTTCCCAGAGCATGTTAATCACAAGTATTTCAACTTAATATAATAATAATTGGTGACGCAGCTGGAAAAATAATTAAACCATACACAAAATATAGGTATTTTTTTATATAGAGTAATTATGTGTTTATTAAATATAAGCATTTTTAATGTAAATTATAGAACCCTTGAACTTTGATTCATTAATAAAAAGATAAGGTCAATAACGCATAAAACCTGAGTTTTCAGCACATTTGCAAAATCCGCACAATTTTACATTGATTCGAACAACACACTTGTTTTTCGGCTCATAGATAATACATTTCATAGTATTCTCTACGGTAATAATTTTCAAAATTAACGATATATTACGAATAATATTTGTATAAAATAAACACTTATAATTTATTAAAAAAAGAGGAAAGGTAATTGAACCGTTTTCGGCTTACTCAAAAGTCAATGTCCTAAAGTGTATGACATAGCGTGACCGTCAAAAATGTACGTATGTCCATTGGTGAAATACACTTAATGGAGTTTTCCTTATTCTAACACTTTAAAACATGAAACTGTTGTGGGACGACACATTGTATATAATTTTACTTTAGTGATTATACGTTATCGTCGAGTAGTCGAATGATTTCTATCCGAATGCAAAATAACTATACTTAAACTTCTATCGAACTACATGGCTAGGTCTAGGTTTGGTTAAACACTCTAAACGTTTCATTTTGTCCGCCGAGTTGAAAACTTATTTTATCTTCTGAGAGCCACTTTGAATCACATTCGTTTTCGAGAAACGTAATCATTATGTATGTTCTGACAAGTCCGTCGAACATTTAATGGATGACCGAGCAATCTACGATGAAATTGTAGATTCGCTATGCAAACATATGTACCTGATTCGTATGTAGACGCACTTGGTGCGATTTCCATTGTAAGCAAACATTATAATACATGTTATTATATTGCACAATCAATGGTTATCGAGACGAATAATTATATGAGCTTCTTTTAAAACGTACTAGTGCTAAAATTTTTGCACACAAAACAAAGAACTTCCCAAAAACTAAAATTCATAAATTAGGTTCCATATAACTTTCATCGTTGTTACTATCAAAGAAGTATAACTATCAATATAATTATGATATTATTTTTTTAATAACAAAGATTATTATTCTTAGTTATGTATAAAATAGTTCACACATTAGCTAAAACAATCGCGTTTAGTGTAATATGTGCTAAGGAAAAAGTAAAAGCGAAAATTCGTAAATAATTATTAAAATAATGTAAACTTACATTTTTAAACTCGAGGAATTATTTATTTCATTTTTTTTTTTTTTTAGTTACTTACACATCTTTTTATGTAAAATGTTAAGATTATTTTTTATCCTAAATATTGTCCAAGATAAAATGTATAAATTAAAATGTAGAGTATTATTGAAGCAACAATAAATCATAATCATGTCATTTAGTTGAAATAATAGGTATTTCAACTCATTTCACTCATTTTGGAGATAAATTAAATAATATTTACTAATTAATTTTAATAAATACATTATTTTTAATTATTATTATTTAAACGATTTCCCACTAAATATTCATGCATATCTAACGTGATGTTGAATTTTAAACTGTCAATAGTAATAACGGTCTTAATGTTTTAACATTTTTTAATTCTACATATAATGCTTATACTTATGATAATTTATATTAAAGCAATTTTTCTTTATAAACAATTTTTACTAAATTATATCAATTTAATTCTAAACTTATTAGATAATAGTTTCATTAAATAAAACATATAATAATTGTTTCAGATTATTTTCATATCTTTAGTTATTAATATTATTTATAACTACAATAGGATTTTTATGTAATATTAAATGTGTGATAATCAAAAAAGTTTTACGATAAAAAGCAATAGAAGTGTAAATTATTAAGGTAACTAGATTTTAAAACTAAAATATTATACACTTAAATATTATAAAATGATATATGGATTTTTGACTACCTGTTTTTTCTATTTATATTATGTACTTGTAAGTAATTGAATGTATCAAACGAAAATATTTAAAATTATAAATTATTAAAGTGCTCTTTTGAGTACTGAGAGTCGATTTAACTACAAATATTTTAGTGAGACTAAAAACCAATAGATATTGATAATAATGTTCCATGTTTATAATTCTCTATACTCAAACAGCGGGAAAATGGAATTCAAAAGCACAAAGTTAACATTTAACAATTGAAAAATAAATAATTGTATTATGTGTTGAGTGGCACAAATTATTTTTCTTACAGTATGAAATTTGTTTCAAAATCTAAGTTATTATATTTTTAAGTGTCTAAAAATTACCCTTTTATTTACATAATCTGAAAAAAATTAAGCTACTCAATGATATCAATAACTCGGACATAAAATAAAATGATTTAAGTATTGACGTTCGATCGATAGAATAACATATAAACGTGAAGTTCAAAGTTGTACGTGTTGGAAAAAAACTAAAATAATAATAATTGTTTACTGACCTGCAATATCATGTTGATGTTGTTTGTAGACGTTCTGGTTGACGACTAAACCAGTCGAAAACAATATCACGGCGACTGCGATGAGCGCGCAAGACGTGTACAGGTAACGGTAACCGGTCCCCTGGAAGAACTTGGAGTCTCCGGGGGCGAAAATTTCACTTTTTAAGGTCACGGCGATTGATGATCTCGACATAAACAATAATAATAATAATAATAAAAATCCCTCGCTAAATGATATACGATTAGATAGTGCAATGCTTCCGGTTATATATATTTATTAACGAGTGAATCGTCGAGCGCGCGAGCAATAAAAAAACTAATTGAGTAAGAATTCGCTGGCGGTCGGTGAAATATGGATGTCATTGGTCATTAATAATAACTCTTATATAAAAAAAAACCGAAAAAATAAAAAACTAATAAAACCGGACAAATTAGTCGCATCTTTCGGTTTAAAATTTCTATGTTCAGTCTGTAAGATTTTTAACATCAATAAGTGTTACGTGTTTGCCGTCCGAAAGGTATAGTTGTGCCACATAGCGTTGTGGGCAGACAACTGCAATTATTGCTAGTAATTATTTTCCTTGGGATACATTATGCGTGAAACACACACATTATTTGACTCATAATCAATGAGAAAGGATTAATGACTATTAGAACGTATTAGATTTTTTTATTTAGCAGAAACGAAAATGTCATACTTTACATGTTAACAATAATATAAACAATGAATAAACAACAATATATTTGATTACCTTCAAATTATTCACTTCAATAAAATCTCAGAAATTAAAACAGTATAACGTCTTATAGAATAGTACCTAGAAAAATATCATCGTCGGAATATTATAATATTACGATTGATATTTAAACAGTAATCTTATTTTAAATAATTCAGACATTAACAATTTTGAACTATTCCAAATCTTTTAATTATTATGTAATCGTTACATACACTTCAAAATTTAAAATCAAAAAACAGTAGGTGATAGTTAAGATGCAAGGATTGCAAAAACACAATACTTCATTTTTCAAATTAAATATAGAACAGTTGCAACCAGTTATTTTGTGATATAATAGTTTTCTGTTCCAATTGAAATAATGTTCATTCGTTATTCCTAGTACCTTATTTATTTTCGCGAATACATTTAAGACCCTTAGGTTTTATTTCGTTATGTCATCTACAGTTTTTTACTGTAGTAAAAACCTAAATAAATAAAATGTCCAGTAATTAATTTTTTATAATTAAATGGAATTTAGGTTGAGAAAATCAATTAATTCTAAAGAAAATTGACATTTTTGACGAACAAAAAAAGAAAAGAAATCATAAAACGTTGGTACTTTGTTTTTGTTTGTAATTATATTGCGTTCCAAGTATTGTACAGAATTTATAAAGTGAAAAGTCGTTGAAATAAATTGAAAAAACTTATTGTACATTCATTTTAATACGTGTTTAAATGAACAAACATTATTTTTACATAAACACGTTGTAAAAATATATTATTTTTTCTTTGATACATGTGATGTATAATCATAAATAATTGATTCCTAATTTGATTTTTAACACTATTTAGTGATTAATTTATAATTGTATACATTTGATAGCTATGAATCGTAACCGAATCAGTATGTGCCCTAAAATTTATTTTTTATGTAATGAAAAATTGGATTTCCAAATATGATTACTCGACCATCTAAAAATTATTTAATTTTACGTTACATAAAATGTTAGTAAACTATTTGCAACTCAATAACGAGATAAATTATAAAGAATTGCGTTATTTTTCTGGCGATTTTTTACAATCGCTGCAGTTGGTTCTCTCCTCTTTTTCTTTTAACCTGTTGATGACCGGCAACTGATAAAGAATGTACTCGAGATTTTCTTTCTGTCTCATTGTCCCTTTCGGTGCTCCACCACCAGGTTTACCCCAAAACTCATTCCAATGTTCGTAATGTTTTTGTCCTTCTTGAATTTCTTCTTCGTGCTCATGCTAAAATCGGACATAATAATCGTCATTATTAATATTTTTAGACTCTACAACACTGTACTCTGCAGTGATTAGTTGGATTTTACTAGTTATTATTGTTAGAAACTAAGATTCAGATAATAATATATTTTTCTTCAAGTCAATTTATTTAATTAGTATTTATGTAATGCACATCAACGAATTACTTACTTGCTTACGTTTCTCACGTCCACTTATTTGCTTCTCAAGAAACTTGTGGTATTCTCTTTCATCGATCCAAAAACTGTAAATATTATATTATGTTAGTAAATTACTGAAGGATCTCATTAGGTTTCCACTGATAAAAAGTAATATTGTATATTTATAAATCACTGGTAGTGCATTATGTTTATGAAAAATTATACGAACTTGACAATTAAAAATACATCGATTTTTTTAATCTTTTTATTTTCCTCTAAATGTACGTGTTTAAAATATACACAACTTACTTAGATTTAGGGTCGTATATTTTTGTGACGTCGCTTGTGTGCAAAGGCCATTTCGAGTTTTGTCTTCTCCTTGCGGCAAGTAACGGAGCTAATTCTACACCACCAGTCACTGCTTCCTACGGATATAACAACTTAAAATTAATCAACCCTATTGATTTTAATTGAACATATTATTTTGTAATAAATATTCCAATTTTTTATGATATACATGTAACAAAAGTACAGAACAAAAAAAATATGTTGAACAATTTTTAGGTATAACGTATTCTATCAACAAAATTATATGGTTTCGATTTATAAGATTAAGAATCAAATTGTTAAAAATAAAAAATTAATTAAGTATCTTCCAAAAAAGGATGAGATGGAATTATGTTGTTACAATAAAATTAAAGTGGCAAATAATATTCTTTAAACTAAATTGATTTCTAAAATACGTTTTTATAAAAGTATTACAATGTCTTCAGTGCTTTCTTTATTGTCATTTGGATGTGATCCCAATTTTAATATACTGCCATCCACGTATCCCTATAAAATTAAATACAATAATTGAATTATTTTGTAAACGATCGTCATAAGCTGTGCAAGAGCTATACGTTAATAATTACCATGCAAATATATAAATATAATATATATTGTTATTACTTTATTATAATTAGTTATATAGTTCAAATCATAAGCGCTTGTTCAAGCTATGTTAAGCTTAAGTTTATGTATTAGATATTAACATTTTTATTTGTTAATCAAAATAAAATTACAAATAATAATTCATAAAATAGTTTTAAAGCAAAAAGCTTAAAATATTGATCAAGCAAAAAAAAAAAAGAAATTATTTGAACTTTAAAATGTTTAATATTTATCAATGTTTTGAAATATTGTTACCAACGAGCGAAAGAAGTTTTTTCCAATACTTTTTGGATCTCTCCAAATAACACCCCCTGGGCATGGAGTACCCCAGGGATCTCCGATCAAATTCTAATAATAATTTTACAACTAACCCAATCAGTCAACATGAACATATTTTATGAGAATATTTGGATGTATAAAAAATCATAGAACTTACCAATTGCTGGTCTCGAATCATTTCTTTTTTGCGATTCTCCTCGATTATTTCTTGTTTTTCCTTCACCATTTCGTCTGAAAATAATATTTTCATAAAATTGAACACGTATTAACATTGGTTTTAAAATAATTTTAAATTAATGGTATTAGTAACATTATAACAATACCGGGAGTTTTGAGATAGGCAACCACATTTGAATAACGATAATATAGATTTTCGCTGATATTAAATCGCATACACAACGCCCCGTTCGAAAAAAAAATATAAATAATATTCAATTCTTTTGTAAAATTATTTATTCTGTACCAGTATAGTAGTGGATTAATTGATTCTGACTTATTATAATTATGGTGAAATTATAATTTCAATTTACTTTTATGTGTAACATCAGGCATGGGATGTAATTAATTCATGTTTAGGTTTATAAATGTATGAGTATTGTTTCAATTACATTATATTTTTAAAAATGCATATATTGCTTCAACAATTCAAAAATATAATAAAAGTAGTCATTTTACATCATTTAGTACATTATAAATTATTGAATTAAAAAACTACACATCATTGATGTGAATTCGCATAGAATAAAGGCTATGATTTTAAACACTGATATTTCAATTGATTTTAACGAAACCGGAAATTCGGTAGTATTATTAACTGATCAGATTATTAGACAATAAGTTTAAAAGGATATAATGAAATTCAATTTTGTATTTGTTATCAAATTAATATTTAACGTTTTTTTGTTGTTTTTTTGCCTATGCTTATTAATTTTCAGGCGTTTATTTATTTTGTTCTCATCGGGTTAAGGCTTAACCGTTAAGCTATAGCTATGACTATTTATATATTTATATTGTATGAATATTTTTCTCACCATACAGCAAAAAAAATTAAATCGTAATTTAAAAACAAAATAATATTTTAGTTTAAGAGTTAACAATGATTCTATTGTAGTGCCACCGGGGAAATATTTCGTAGAACTATTAATTTAATAAGTAAGAATTTGCATATAATGACATAACATTTTGTTGTTGAACATAGTTAAATATGGAAACGAAGTACATAGATAAGAATTTTATCGCTTTGTGTCAATAAAACAAAATACATAATATAAGCATATAATGATATGGAATGTTTAGTAAATAATATAACCGAAATTATAGATATTAATAATATTGTATTGGACTATAAAATAAGTAGACTTTATACGTTATATGATTTAAACATGACGTAGTATTATTGGTTGTATTTTTCACGTCACGCGTCTCGATAATTTTATTTGTTCGTGTAGTTACTAAATTTCATTTCAAGACATTTTACCTGACTATTAATGCTACTTAATTATGAATGTACGTCATATATCTCCTTGATACATAATAGTACGACTAAAGATTTAAAACCGAACATGGAGAATATTCGTGTAAATAAAACAAGGTTAGGAAAATGTTTAAATTGAATTAAGAAAGATGCACCAAGTTGGAGTTGTATGTCTACATTATAAGGTATCATTGAAATTAACTTCACAGGCGAGGGCAGAGTGTAATCAGTTAATTATAATATTCAGTATTAAGTACTAATTAATAAATGGAAATAATTTAACCGAATTTTATTCCATTTTATATTTACATACATTTTTTTTTACCTGACTTTGATTGTTATGATTTTACAGTAATAACAAGTTAAGAATGCAATGATTTTAGATACAATTACAACTTAACATAAAAAATACTATCATAAGAATTATTATATTATTGTTTTTAAATAAAATAATAATGTTTTAAACTGTATAATAATTGCATTATTATAAATACCATGACTCGATACACCACAAAGATTTACTAATTGCAATATAACTTATGTTTTCTTTAGTCATTTTTTAAATTATTTAAAAAATAAAATATAATATAAAATTTTTTAATATAACATAACATAATATAACATTTGTAAAGAAAACATAATTTAATATTTGTATCGCCTATTATAGTATGTGACGCAAAATATAGATATATAAATATTTAGATAGTTGTAAACATCCGGTATGTTTGTATGCTAACCATATCTTTATTATAAATACTATGAAATTATTATTACATAAGTTGCACTCTTTATTTTATGTTTAGAAATAACTTCTGACAACTATAAATTATTATTTTCTTTAACGATACTTTAATTGATTTTAAATAATAAACATATAATTTTATATCAATAAAAATAGTTGACTTTAAAATAAACTTCAATATTACAACTATGCTAATGTATGAACTATTAAATGTAATAATATCTCAAATAATATAAAAATATTTAATAAAATAAAAATTTTAACCAGATAAATATATTTATTTTCGGAAATTATTTTCAGCTATTGGTGACTCAATAAAGATAACTGATAATATTTCTTTAAGTATTTTTTTTATTTTTTTTTTCTTGAAATAAGTTAAGTCTAATATGACGAATACATAGATAACAGTTAAATATAAAAAAATAAATGCGATGTTAACAATTATTTTAGTCACATGTAATTAACGTAAATATAATACGAAAAAGATTTTAAGAAGAAATTTTCAATTATTTACAGTCAAATATGGAAAAATATATATTATCAATGTTTTGAGTATATTATTATTGCTTAAACTGTTATAAATTGCCAAATTATATCATATGTACAGATAATTTTAACCTACAAATATAGTTATGATGTTACAAATATATTTATAATTTGTTGACATAGTAATATATATTTATTATATGTATATTTACGACAATATTTGCAAATATCGAATGAGATTAAAAATTAATTAATTGTTTTTACTTTATAACTTTTAATGATTTGTAATAAAATAAATATCAAATTTAATTTAAACTTAAGATTTAATTGCACTTGCAGCTCACTTTTAATAGTATGGTTAACATAACACCTAACACACCAGTGCAAACTTTCCATTTGTCATTGCATTTAGTGTTGTGTATTACTGTGAATGGTAAAATTTGATAAAAAAAATAATTTATAAAAGCAGATAAAATCCTAAATATATTCCTTGATGTCAATAAATTATAAATAACAAATAGGGTTAAAATATACCGTGAAGTGTTTATTGAAAAAAATAAAATAAGTATTGAAGAACAGTCACACGATTTTTATGTGACGGATGTTTGCAATTAATTAACACTACAAACTTATTACTTTTTTAATTATTATTTTATCACCATTGAGTCGTTTGTGATATATTTGTTGATGAAAATAACTTCTTTCTTTTAAAAAATAAGTTTAATGCTAATTAATTTGTACGTCGTCGTAATGTTACCGCACAGTAAACAAATACGTATCATATATTATTAACAATTATTATTATGCTCACCCAATTCCATTTTATACATTCTTTGATCTTTCAGTGGAATTCTGTATCTTAAATCATTGTCAACAATGTTCCTATCAGGAGCGTGAAATTGAAACCTTAGCTGAGGATCTTCAATCCGAAAGTTTTTGATTTTTCCAGACGATGTCTTCAAAGGCGCACCGCCTCCCGGTCGTCCCATTTTCGTCACTTCATTACTAACTTCCTAAACATTTTTTTGGCAATCAACACGATTTCAACAACTGAATAAAATCTTTACGCTATAAAATAATATAAAACCTAAATACTAAACCAATACATAATGTTAATTGCGCTTGAATAACGTAATATCTGTCACGAAATATCGGATGCCTCACATTACTTTAATAGCTTGCTTAGAAACAAAAGTTTTTACATTTTATTAATACAACAATGATAATATAATAACATGTTTCAGGATGATAAATGTTTTCTCGAAAATATAATATTTATTTATTTATATATTATAAACGTCTGTAATACTCAAGTTTATTGAGGTTTTTAACTTTTCAAATATTACCTACTAATTCAACGCATTTGTAGTTCATTAATTTGAAATTTTTCAATAATTCAATAAAAAAATTTTTTTATATAAACAAAAATTATTACGTATGATCATATAAGCAAGTGTAGTTAATTTTTTTTCATTTGTTTTATTCAATTTATTCATAAAACATTTATAAAATACTCACATTCCAATAAATAATTTAGTTTCTACTAAAAACGTATTACAGAACAACTATTATAATGTGTTAATGTAAAATTATTTCAATATTATTACCAATAACATTTTTACCCTCTAATAAATATATCTAATATAGAACAGTAATGATATATATTTATTTATTTACATTATACATATAATACGAGGCAACAATACAAAATAATACATGGTACACAATGATATGCAATTTGTAGTACAATAATATTGTAAAATCATTGAGTACCTATTTATGATTTATTGCCTGAATAATGCACGTATTATAATAATATAATATAATTTATACATGCATCAATATCATTTTTTTACGAATAGTACATTTTTCTCATGTAATAATTTTCTGTCGCTTTTTATGAAATTATAAACCTTTATATAATAGTATTAGACATTTTTTTAAATTACTTATATCATTGTAATATTGAAGATTACATTTTATTTAATACAATTGTATCTGTCTCAAGATTTTAATCGTTTTCACTGTATAAAACTATAATACTACACATTGCATTTGAGATTTTTTTTGACTTATTTTTATAATCACAGAGAATTCAAAGAACGTCTAAAAACACTATAGTAAACCATCGTTTTCAAATATATGATAAAAAGTTTAAGACACTGACTTATTTGTATAGCTGATACGAACATAGTATATTCCTTAACATAATATTCATAAATTTTATATACTTAATACTTATTAGCTTATGTGTAAAGAAAAAAAATGAAATTACACATACTCAGTTATAAATGTTAAATTACATAACACGTATTTAATTTGGCATTTTCAAAAAAACTGTATAAACCATTAAATTAAGTATAAAGTGCATAAAAGATAAACACATATTATTGTTATCTGAATATCTACAAAGGTATTATAATTTAAATTATTTTTTAAATAAATAAAATATTTGGATAAGGTACGCAAATATACATTATTAATATGTTTTGATTCGTGGTTAAATAAAACTCACTGTTGAAAATATACGTTAATAACAATTCCCATTAAAAATATTTTTAGATAATATTGTAATCTAATATAGACCTGTTGCATAATAGTTCAGTATGAATTATTTACACAGTTCTAAAAACTGTAAAATGCAAATTAACATTAAGAAATATACACTTCTAATCAATATCACATCAAATCATAACCAATTGTTAAACGGCAAAACAATGATAAACAGAATCGTGCAAAGAAGCTCATAGATTTTAAAAATCTATGTGTCTGAAGTCGAGATGCTATTTTATCTGTATTTATGTTCACACGTAGCCAACTGATATGAGTTAATAATAATACTGTGACGTCGATGGCAACATCTCATAAATTGAATGACAGCGGATACGCAGTGCATATTATGCATTGAAATTTAACGATAATAACGCATTTTTTGTCTTCATTTATACTTGAATCTCGCAACAATTTAAATCATTAATCTTATCAGTACCTGAAATTTACGTATATTGCTACTTCACATCAAATTCCACACACCAAAATATTTTAAAATAATGAACGTAAGTAGTGCACTTATGGCTTCGTTGTAAGATTGCTTTTGGTTACAATAAATACAATCTAAGATAAACTTCTTTTCTTGGAAAGTAGAGTAAAGATTATTATAATGGTATACCATCAAATAGTATTAATCAAAAAAACGTTTATAAAAACTAAAAAAAAATTGCAACACATTTTATAATAGCTACTGTAGGGGAAGGGATCAGAATCGTACTACCAATTTCTAAGGATTTCAGAACTTATAACATTTTAAGAATTTTAAATTGGATTGCGTTAAAAATATTAAAAATAATGTTAGCTTCAATATTATTTAAGAATTTTTAAAAAATCTTAACATGAACTTAAAAAAAAAGTACTAATTTTGAAAATACTTTAAAATACTGTTTTGCCTCATAAGTAGGGTAAAACCATATTAGTCTATTAATAACCATATGATTATTTTATGATCTAAAATAGTAGAAATATAATCGGTATTAAATTATTTTACAAAAACATAATAAAATAATAATTCAATTAACCTTTTGCTTTTGCTATATTATTAATAACATTTGTAGGGTAATTTTTTACCACGTATACAACTAGGTACATAACAAAATTTGAAAACAACATTTTAATAAAACATGTTTAAATATTCCTAAGTTAATAACATTGAATTCTCGTCCCACGATTGGCGATTTGTTTTGCGCATATAGTTACGAACCATCTTGAATAAAAATGTATCAAGTAAATTAAAACACGTAACAATGTAGCTCCGTATAAAACGCTGGAAAAATTTCGTATGGTTAGGTGAACTAACCTAACCTAACCTAATCGTACATTTACGGTTTTATCCAAACGATTTTTCTCCACAGTAAGTGGATTCAAATTAATAGGAATTAATTAAAAAGTATAAGCAATATTCCTCCAAATTATATAATAATATAATGAAATAATAATAATTAGTATGAAAATAATTTATAATATAATACAATATATAATGTATTATAATAATAATTGTAATATAATTATTTAATACTAAATAATCTGTTAATACTTACTTTATCGTAATGTGATGCAGTTTTTTTTACATCAGACGAAAATATTTATAGAAATGTTTAATGATAATATATGAAAAAAAAATACTATTATACATATTTTTTGATAAGAAGAATTTGAGCGGTAATTGATTAAACAAAAGGTTAATGTTTATTGATAACAATAAACTTATGGTTATGGAGAAATAAACATTAATCTTTTTTTTTTCAGTGACTCAGTGTTCCGAAAATATTATCATTCGGTTTTATAGTATATTTCATAATTAATTTTTCTTATTTAATTTTAGCCCTGTTAAAGTTTAAAACCTGATTTTTTTATCAAACATAAATTTTTTTTTATATTATTTTATTTTATTTCTTAATTATGTTATATTAAGACAAACAGCCAACCACTGATGTATTTCAATAAATATGTTATTTTTTTTATAACTATATTTTTGTGTTTATCTTATAAAAATTTAAATGTATATTTTTGCATATTTTATAATTTTTTATTGCATAAAAATCCTATATATTGCATACATATCCTATCCCTGCTTATAATCTATTTATATGATTCACAATTCGTATGCTCTGTGGCATTCATGACGCGATTCCAAACGCTTAACTGATGGATGATCAGCTTAACTGATGGATGTTCAATGATGATTATTATTTATTTATAATTTGTTAACTGTCACACAGAAGTTGGGCTGTGTATTAATTACTATATACGAGTACCTTCCATGGAGAAGTCGGAGGCTCTGTAAATATTTTTCTCTTCCGTAGTCCATCGTCGTTTGGAGCACCGTGACCCGGTTTTCCCCAAGGATTATAATCGTCTATCACCTTTGAGAGGATCTGTAAAAATATACGCTCTATACACGTATTCTTTCCCAGTGCATTTTGACCGACGCTCTCTCTCTCTCTCTCTCTCTGTGATTTCAACTTACATTTTTCTGTTCGTCACATGTGCGCGTCGCGGATTCGCCGCCTTTGTCCGCAGAACAATGGTGACGTTCTTCATCAGGCATCGTGCTGTCACTACGCAGGCAAAAAAATTAAACACAAAATGTTTTGCGAATATTACTGGAACGGTTAATACGGCCGGTGTGTAATAAACGCGACGGTACCCAGAACGACACTAGATCAGATGTCCTGTACTCGGGTGCGAACAAGAGGATATCGATGTGCACGGTTTTTTGTTTTTTTTTTTTATAGAACTTCGGGCGCAGTCAATTGAATTCAATGAAACAAATATGGTTTTGACAACGTTTTTATTACACAATTAATAGTCCAAACGTCGGCGGCGGATCGATTGATTCTTATTGAATAGGTGGGTAAAGTAATTACGGTTAACCTCGAAAATCGAATTAACGGTTCAGCGGGTTACGGGAACGAATGTATTGCGTGGTTCTTATTCTCGCCCAAACATTACATATGAGTTGTTGACAAGTACTGTAGTGAGACCTACGGGTGTCTTATTAAACAAATGCAACGTATAATTATCATGCGATCTCGTCGTTAATGTTTTAATTATGAACGTTGAACCCCAGCCATTTAGGATCACGGTTTGCCAATCGCCACTCGATTCTATTTTATTTATACGCAAGACTGTAAAACACGATAATACAGTTTAAATTTGTAAAAACAGTTAATTATTACTTATTTTGAATGCCAATGTTAGTAAAAAGTTTTTGAATAAATAATATATTCTGTTATAATACATTATACTGTTAGAGTTATCTTAAGTCATTTTACTATTCTAAATAATATTATCTGTTCACGTGGATCAACATTACAAATAGCGTAAAAACATTTTCATTAAACATAACATATATTATTTTTAGTAATATTGATTACGAATTTTGTATTTCGATAGTCCGTTGAAATTGGAAAAAAATACTCTCTAAGTATCAAAATAATAGTGTGATATTCCTGGTTAAAATTTTCTGTACGAGTTCATACACTTTTAATATTGCATATATTTTATGAAAAAAAACAAGTGCAGCTTTATGGACTTATGTGAAGTATGAAATATATTACTTTTTTAAACTAAATTTACCTGTGTAAAGTGTATACGTACGCACGCCCTTGTCAATAATCACAACAGACGATCGAGGGGTTTCACGGAATATTGCAATTGAACTTTCAACGACGAACGCTCCTGGCACTGAATTCAATAAGCAAAAGCATCGGTACTGTGTCTATATTGTACAATAATAAACGGAATACAGGTCATAGTGACATGATCCGTTTAGGTTCGTATACTAACGTGCTTTTTGCGAATTTCGTGACATCCTCATTTTTTCCCATTATTTTATCGTCGTTGCTATTATTATTAAACAAAATAAATTCACATTGTATATATTTTTTTGGCGAAACGAGTTCGAACGAGCGGTGTACATGAAACGTCTTACCGAGTTGCAAAACGCTATGGAGCATGTTGCCACGAACGTAACGTCGCACTATACTTGTTATGATTATAATTTAACTTGACTACCATTTATTCATTTTATTATATAATATGCGTATTATTTTTTTATTCCTAAGTACGCGCTGTTTTATTGTTTTATTTAAAGACAAGGTAAATAATATGCAAAGTTTAAACGATAAATGACACATTATAATTATTGATTGGGGTGTTTATTGTATAATGCACTTTATGGAATTAATGTCATTGGGTTTTTATTTATTATTTTTTATTATTATTTGGGTTGTCATTTAGTACAAGAAGAGTTTAAAATCCTATTCACCGGTAGACCGGAGTGCAAATATCAATTGGAAGTCCCTTAAAAAAAATTGGCTCAACATATCATTTATATATTAATTTAATACATGTTGATATTATAAATAACTGAAAACAAAATTTAAATACTTAATTAATAGGTAAATTTTTTTTAAAAAAAAAAGATTTAAACAATAACAACGCAGACAATTTTCAATTGTATATTTTGGTTTTAGAGTCCTTTTAGAGCTCAGTAACCAGTGCATTAAGCCCCCTGTACCCTTGCTAAATTTGACACTGATCTTAATCATATTTTAAAGTTTAAACTCGTATCTTCAGATGAGTTAACTGTGTTTTTAATTTTTGGACTCATGATTTTAATGAATCTATGATTATTATTATAATTTTACTACAACGACGTATTTTTCACACTAAAAGGATTTAAAAATGAAGAACACACATGAATGTTTCAGGGTAGTTAATTTATTCATCGTTTAACATTATCTTTACTTTATATTACGAGTATAATAAATTAATTTTGAAAATATAACACATAAATTATTGTTCATATTTTTTTTAGAAATTTGCGATATTTTAAATTAGATACAGTATATGATCCATAATATTATAATAATTAATATTTAATTGTTTATTCTAATATAAAACTTTTTTTACAGTTATTGTGGAAAAAGTGAAAGTAATGATTTTAATTTATTACTCTTCTCGTTTTACTAAAATATCAACATAAGACGTAATATATTCTTCTTTATTTTTAATATTTATTTAATTATTTTACCACTGTCATATTCGATAAATAATTCAGCGTTAAACTATAGTTTTAATTAAAGCGTGAATGTCGTGTTCATTACTAAGTTTATATATTTTAGTATTTTACAATAATGGAGGAGGTACGAAGACCTTCCATAAGTTATTTGAAACGACTAAAATCTATGACCACTTAAAATTGGATAGAAAATGTAACAGTAAAGATATATACCATTTACATAAAAAAAATTTTAGCTCTTTAGAATATTATACAGGTACAAAATGGATAGTATGAGTTATTAACTACTTATCACTATATAGATTTTTAAACGGATTCTAAATAACTTTTTATCACAAATTTACCTTTTAATAAACATATAAATTTAAATATTTTATAATATATATCATTGGTTAAAAAGAGAAAATTAACTTATAAAGTTTATTTATTTAATTAAATAAAAAACAATTAAATATTATATACCATGCGTTATTATGTTAAAATATTATAGTAGGAGACAATAAGTATCGGTTTGTACTATTTTTATTTTTATTGTATTATTTCTATATTAACAAGTTGTTATGAAATTAAATTTTAATAAAAGTTTAACTATAATTTTAATTTTTTGTTATTTTAAATTGTAGGGACTGTTCTGCCGTAACTTTCATCATGAACACACGTACACTACATTGTATCATATTCGCTCTGTTATCGCTATGCGTGCTCATTAGTAATTTATTTTGGCCATTATAGCTACTATCAGTTCCAACTTATAATAACATCATAACGATGAATATTGCACAGAATACTGGTTCCGCCTCACCACGTACACCGAAACCCTCTAACGAAATTTGTCAGCCTCGTCAATTTCACCAGCTCAAAATGACAAAAACACCAAAGTCTATGTTTCACCAAACCGTTTTGCCCTACTCACCACTGATGATAACGACGTAGCAACAACTTTGTCTTTAACCAACCTTAAGGGTGATCCAATGAATATGTTTCACACTAAACGAGACATGAGGTCCCCGGCTCCACCTATCCATGTAAAAAAATATTTTTTACTATTCCGCCTCTAATAAGATATTAATCAACATCACCAACCAATATGATTTTACCTGTAGGTCAACACCATTACATATCATCATACAACTAGCAGATTGCCAAAACTTTAATAAAATTATCGATCATTTACACAAAACTAATGCTAGTTTTCATTCATTTACTTCTCGTCAACTTCTTTATATACAAGATCGTAATCAGAAACCTACACTTTTCCACCATAAGTAATGACATTATTAAAGCTTCAGCTGAATTGGGACACTCAGTTAAATTCATATACAACGTCAAAAATAAAAACAAATATCCTTTATCCTTACTCTTTGTGGATATGTTAACACAGGACAATAACAAAGACATTCTCGAAATTAAGTCACTACTCAATACCAAAATCTCGATTGAGAAACCACATAAGAAGAAACATGGTCCTCCACAGTATCATAACTGTCAATCCTACGAAGATACAAGAAATAATTGCCACCACGAACTTAATTGTGGTAAGTGTGGTAATATTAATCCCACGAATGAGTGTTCTAAAGACCGTCACAATCCTGCAAAATTTGCTCTTTGCAATGAGAAATATACAGCTAACTACAAAGGATACCCAGTTTACAAAGCTCTTCACAAAAAAACAGTTCCAAAAGTCACTCCGGTCAAAAACTCTGATTTCAATGCCCAGTCTAAAACCAAATTAACAGGGCTGTATTAGCGCATAGGCACTATAGGCACTGTGCCTAGGGTCTACAAAAATGTGTGGCTACGATTTTTTTGTAGTATGCAAATTAGTATAAAAAAATTTTTTTATGGTTTTTGACAATATATATTATATATGTTTTGGATTAAAATGAATTTTTTAACATTTGTAAAAAACTTTTATCGTATAAAAATTTATAATAGTTATTAAATAAAAGTTTAAATTTGATTTTAATGTTATAAATATTATTGTTTTTACAAGCTTAAAACTTAAGAGAAGGTTTTTTAACCATTTGAATACTGGATAACGGCCCTGTAAGAATTAGGGGCTTAGGGTCTACGATAGTGTTAATTCCGACCTGTAAATCATATGCAGAAACCACCAAAAGTCAAAACACATACACGGAACACAAAATTGCCGATACTCTTTCAAGTTTTATATATAATTTAAAATCACTAATTTGTCTCATTATCTTTCTTCTGTCAACGGTTTTAAAAGCTCTTACAACGAACAACAGTATTTAAATTAAGAATAACCTAATTATATCCATTATCAAAGTTAATTATAAAATCAAATATCAATACTACAAATATTATAAATATATATTAATACAAATAACAAATAAACACGTAGACATAATTATATAATTATAATAATCTCAAACTTATAATAGCACTAAGTGTGTTGAAACATTTTTATCTAAAATAAATAAAAAAGAAAAAAAATTGTGGGGTGTAATAAACCCATTAAACACATTAAAGATGCAAAATATCGTAAACATACTAACGATAGATTTTAAGTAACTCACTATTTTTGGAAACAAACTATTATAATTTTAAAGTAATAATTAATTTTAAAATACAAAACCCGTAATAAGTTCTAAACAACTATGAAAATTAAGATGATTACAGAAATGCACCAAATACTTTCAGAGTATTTATTTTACACCACTTTACTTCTATCTAATTTATAATTATTAATAAACAATAGTAACTAAATATTAATTATTTATTAGTGTTATTGCTTATAAATAAGTTCTTATTTTTTTTTTCGAGAAAGATTAATCTTCTTCAATATGATTGGGGCTTTAATTAAGTGCAATAAAGTTTTATTTACCGTATATCTTCATTCGTAGTTACTATAAAATTATATTTGAGGAAAGGACGATCGCTCCTACCGTCTTCCTTAAATTACATGCCTGACTGCACACAAATAATTAAATGATTAATTATATATGTAATTGAATTGTAAGACTGAATGAATCTCACTTGCTTAAAATAAATCAATTTTTGTGATAAATTGTATAAAATGTAGTCACTACGCAATAGTCTACAGCAGTCAAGATAA